CACGCACACCCCCCCCTCCAAAGGACCGGAGCAGAGGCGTCCCAAGTACAGCGGTGGATTTCAGCTCTTTAATGGCACCGGTCGAGCACAGAGCCTGGCCGCCTCAGCTGGGTGACAGGCAGCGTGGGCCGCTCGCCGGGCCCTGGGACAGGCTTCAGCCCCTCCTGGATTCGGGCATCTGGCCGAACAGGGTGAAGGCGCTGCTGCGGCGGCGGGGCTCCCCCTCGCGGTTGCCGGTGGCCGCCGCCCCNGTGGCCGCCGCCCCCGCATCTCGCTCCCGCCCTTGCCCTTGGCCTTGCCCGGCGGTCTGCGCGCTTCCGCCGTGGGCCTCCATGCCCACCATCTCCACGATGTAGTCGGTCAAGGAGTCGAGCATGACCAGGAGCAGGTCATCTGCGCCCGAGCCGGGACGCTGGCCCTGCTGATTGTTCTGTAGGAGGCGATCCACGTAGGTCAAAGGGGACTGTAACTCGGCCGCTAGAAGATGGTCTGGAGTCTCAGAGGGGCTCTCACGGCTTGGTTTCTCTGACATGATGGCTGTTTGACTCGCATCAGCCCTTCTTAACTCTCTGGGCCTCTGAAGACACCAGTGCTCGGCTCGGCCTTTTATATCCTTGCAGCCCCTCCTGGTCAGGGAGCCCTTTGTGACATCCTGGACCTTGGGTTGTCATTGGTGACCACTGTGCCCTCATCAGGCCTCAGCCTAGAAATGTCCCTAACAGGAACCTGGTCACTCTGGAGACGGGCCCATGATTTTGAGGGCACTGTCATTTGTTGTTTGACTTTAATGTTGTAGAAATAAGTGTGTTTCACTGGGAAACATTTCCCATCTTTAGAACGCAACTCCAAGTTATCTGATTCTAACCTTACATTGTCTTCTAGGTCCTTTACAACCTTTGGTTAGTTGTAGGTCACGGATAAACCTGTAAAATGCCTTGCCTAGTAGAGATTAAATTGCCCCCCTGCCATGATATAATGAAACCAGTTTTGCCTCCATTTATACACTCATTTAAATATTCTTGATTAATATGCCTGTATTTAAATTTGTTTTCTCTTTTGAACCAGTTATAACACCTTCCCATTCGCTCAGTGAGTAAATAGAATCTTTTAACACATGTTCATTTTATATCTGTATGAATGTCCTGATTTTACACCATTTGAAAAATATTAATTATTTTGGAAGTCACAATGAGATGCTCAATGGATTCATCCGTCAGAATGAGGTACATATTGTTGAGAGAGAGAAGTGTAACTTATGCTCATTTTAAGCCCAGATGTGCCTTTTCTTGGCTGTCCTAGGTTAAGCCAAAGCACAAGAGATGTTTATTCTTGTTTCTTTAAATCAAATTCCNAAATCAATTTCTTCTCCACTAATTTTGTTTCTGCTTTGTTTTTAGTTCATTTACAGCTGACAACAGTTATAGATATTTCCATTCCAAAAGAGAGAATATAGAAGGAAGAAAAGAGTCTCTGATCCAAGAAATTTCAATATCCAAGCAGGCAAACCTCCCTAGCTTCAAGGCCTGGGAATAATCCTTGGTGGCTTGAGGCTCCTTCCTCTGATGCCATGACTGCACCTGGGTCCATAGCTCTGCCCTCTGCATTCTAGGTTCTGCCCCCAGAATCATCTTTCCTTTACTTTGAGTTCAGCACATGTTTGCAGCTGAGCAGTTTATCAGCCCGTTTTCTGCTTGTCAACATTTGGAAGTACCACGACCTTCTATCATTTCATCATCTGTCTATCCTTTCAGTTAAAAATGGCATTGTTTCTGCTGATTTAACATATGCACAAATCTCAAAGGCTCCCATGTACGTCATTGGGATTCATGTCCTTAGATAAGAGGCTCGTTCCCAGAGCCTCCTGGAAAATCCCATCTCTATTTATTCGTTGCTTCTGCTGAGATGGCTGGGGATATCCATGATTCACATCCCATATCGCTTCAAAGAGCCCTCTGAATACTCTGATCTTTTGATTCCTCAGTGGTACTAGCACATGGATGGCTAGCACAGCCTTGATGCCTTGATTTCATCTCCACAGGACACTTTCCTCACAGTGAATCCTCCCATTTTAGTGTCTTTTTCAATCTGGATAGCCGAGAATTTCTCATATCTTCATGTACTGGTTCTTTTTTGCTTAACAGTTCTTCCCTCAATTTATGTTTTCCTTCTAACATTTTGCTATTAATAGCAAGATAAAACAAGGGCATGCCTTCAACACTTTCCTTGGGAATCTGCTCAGCTACATTTTCATTGTTACAATTCAGCTAAGATTTCTGCCACTACATGACAAGACTCTCCTCTCCTCCAGTTTTCAATATTTTCCTTGTAAACCTTCACCAGCAACACCTGACATTCATACTTCCATCAATAGTCTGTTTATAGTGATTCTCTGAGACAATATAGGCCTCTCAGCTGTGCTCCTCACTTCCTTTCGAGCTCTCACCAGCAGCACTTTAACATCCATAGTTCTACTAACTGTTCAAGGTAATCTAAAAAAATTTTGATCACGCTCTTCAAAATTATCCTAGCCTATAGCCATTATCCAATTCCATGTTTTTAGATATCTGTTATGGCAGCAATCTACTTCCTGANCCTCACTTCCTTTCGAGCTCTCACCAGCAGCACTTTAACATCCATAGTTCGACTAACTGTTCAAGGTAATCTAAAACAATTTTGATCCTGCTCTTCAAAATTATTCTAGCCTGTAGCCATTATCCAATACCGAAGTCACTTCCATGTTTTTAGATATCTGTTATGGCAGCAATCTACTTCCTGAGACCAAAATCTGCATTAGATTACAATGGCTGCTATAATGCTTTGCTACAGATTTGGTGGCTTAAAACAACACATATTTAGTCTCTACAGCTCTGGAGATAAGATGTCCAAATAAGTTTCACTGGGCTGAAAACAAGATGTTAACAGGGCCCCGCTCCCTCTGGAGGCTCTAGAGGAGAATGGGTTTCCTGGCCTTTTCCAGCTCCCGGAGCTGCATCCCTTGCCTGTGCCTGCCTCCTTCAGTTTCACGGCCAGCAGTGTATTATCTTGCTTCAGTGGTCAAATTTTCTTCTTTTGTGTCACATTTATCTCTGTTTACCTCTTATAAGGACATGTAAGTTTGCACTTAGGCTCTATCAGATAATACAGAATAATCTATCTCAAGATCCTTAACTTAATCTTATATGTAAATTCTCTTTTCACATATAAAGTAACACCTTTGGGGGCCATTATTCAGCTACCACAGGAGGTGTCCCCAGGAAACTCTAGTAGGTAAGTGAGGAATTTAAACAGGAAGGAGGGAAGCAAACAAAGTGCTCATTATTAATCAGTTTAATATCACTGAAGAACTTTAGAAAACAACTTGCCAAGGGAAGATAATGCCCCAGCATTCTGGACTATCATGCTGTTATGCATAGTGGGCCCTGAAAGCCTGATAAAAGCCCTCACGAAAAGAAATTCCAGTACTGACGTTTGAAACACAGGCCAAAATGCACATAAATGGTACAAGCTGTGGGGCTCTGAGCAGGACACTGACAGCATCTTCTACACTAAGAAATGGTTATATACTTTCCTTATAAAGTTTTTTCCTTTCTCCTTACCTCCTGCCCACTCTTCCTTCCTTCATTTAACAAATGTTTATTGTGCAGTTAGCCTGCTATCAAGCCCTGAGTTAGAAGCTGGATAATCAATGTTAAACAAAATAGACATTATCTCATCCTTATGGAGCATCCGGTCTAGTGGGAAAGACAGATTTTAAACAAATGCTAAAATAAAGATGTAGCTCTAAACTGCCATGCACGGTCTAAAGCAGAGTTTATCAACCTTAGCACTGTTGACACTTTGGACTGGATAATTCTTTGTTGTTGGGCAAGAGGGCTGTCTGGCATAGGATTTTTAGCGATATCCTTGGCCTCTACCCACTAGACTATAATAGCACCCTCCAGTTGTGATGCCAAGAAGTATCTCAAGATATTGTTAAATGTCCCCTAGAGGGTAAAATTATACTCCACTGAGAAGCACATTACATATAAAAATATATACTACAAATAAATTATTTTAAGATCCAATGAGATGTAACTTAGATAAGGTAATCAAGGAATATCCTCTGAGAAAGGGACACTGAAACTGAGAATGGGTCCAAGAATGGGAAATGAAGCAGAGAAATGATAAGAGAAAGAACATTCCAGAAAGATGGCACCGGCAAATCTCTAAAGTGGTAAGGTACTTGGTGTGACTGAACGGAAGTGCAAGAAAGGGAGGGAATGTTAAAATGACGTCGTATCTACTCATGAGCAATAAAGAATCTGGAATTTTTTGCAAGGCCAGTGTTGCTCAGTGATTGAGTGTTGCTCCATGAACCAAAAGGTCACCCTATTGATTCCTGGTCAGGGCACATGCCCAGGTTGTGGGCTCCATCCCTAGTAGGGAACATGCAGGAGGCGGCCGATTGATTTTTCTCTCTCATCACTGATGTTTTTATGTCTCCCTTCCTCTCTCTGAAATCAGTAAAAACACATTAAAAAGAAGAATCTGGACTTTTTCAATAGATTTTTTGGCACTTGGCTCCATCTTTCAAACCTGGATGAATTTATATATATATATATATATTTTTTTTTAATTAACCAATGAAAAAAGTTCTAAAGAGCAAGGAAGTGCAGGATCAAACAGTTGTAATACTGTGTGATAGATTGTTTGCAAAAGTGGTCACAATTACCCCATTCTCTGAATCCACTCCGTATATCCACATTTTAAAATTTCTAAAAAGACTTAACAAGCATTTATTCAACGTCTACTATGTAGTGTATTTTCCCTTATTCTGTGGGGATATTTAAAAAAATTTTTAATTTTATTTTTCAACCACAGTTTACATTCAATACCATCCCACACCAGTTTCAGATGTACAGCAAAGTGACCAGAAAACCATGCACTCTGCAGAGTGGTCCTCAGCTGCCCCAAACACCGCCTGGCCCCATACCCAGTTATGTCGACATTATTGACTGTATTTCCCATGCTGCACCTTTTTATCTGCTCATCAATGATCAATAGTACTTTCCAAACTGAAATCACTAACAGAAAAATAAGTGCAAAAATGGAGGGGAATGGATAAACAAACTCTGCTATATTTATACAATTGAGTACCACTCTCCAATGAAAAGCAACAACCTAGTGATATGTGGATCAACATGGACGAGTCTCAAACATTTCATGCTGTGTAAAAAAAATCCTGTATGATTACATTTATATAAAGTTGTAGAACAGGCAAAACTAACCCATTGTAATAGAAATCAGAAGAGAGACTGCCTGTGGAGTGGGTGATTGACTGGGAGGGTTCATAAATGAACTTATTTCAGTGGACATAAAATCTAACATATTTTTTAAAAGTTGAAAGAAGTAAAAGATTGCCTGGCTGGTTTGGCTCAGTGATTGAGCTTCGACCCATGTACCTAGAGGTCACGGTTCGATTCCCGGTCAGGGCACAGGCCCGGGTTTCGGCTCCATCCCCAGCAGGGGGCGCGCAGGAGGCAGCCGTTCAGT